ACCCAACCCTCCCCCCCCCCCCCCCGCCATGTAAAGCCTTTTTATGGTCTGTGGGCAAAGCAGCCCCTGCTCCCCACACTTCCACCGAAAGCCGGAGCGGTGCTGGGCTCGGCAGCCTCCATTATGGAGCTGTGGGTTTGGTTTTTGCGTGGCCTTTGCTAGCCAGGGCATCTCCTCAACTCCCGACCCCCCTCGGGTGGGACCGAGGTGGCCCTCCTGTCCCCCCTCCTACCCCTAGGGACGGTCCCTGCATCTTTGGTCGCCATCGGCGCTGGCACAGCGGTGCGAGATCAACTCTATCGTGTGTTTATATAATGGCCTTTGTGCCCGTACGTGGGTATTTTATATTATATAAAAGGGGATTGGTGCAAAATGGTGTGTGTGGGGAAGCAGCGCTGGCGGGCGGGTTATTATTTTTTTTTTTTTTTGAGGCTGTGTAGTATGTTGTAGGTGTCTGTGTAATGCTGGATGTTCACGTATGCAAACGCTCATGCGGAGCGCGCACTCACTTGGAGGTTGTATGTGCTTTAATCCCGTATGGAAAACTAAATGGTCTAACTAAATGATTGCCCTGCAGCCCCTGGGAACGATGGAGAGTGCAGAAAGGGTGGCAGGGCTGGGGGGGTTAAGCCTGCTGAGGGGAGGAAGGAAGGATGGCTTTTTAAATTTTACACCTATAAATATTATATAGAGTGTAATATAAATTTCCTATACAATAATATAAATTTTATACATAGAATTTTCTTGCTTCTTCCTGCGATAGTAGATCCAAAGATCAGATGATGAGGGCGGAAGCTGTAAATGGTAGGGGTACGCGTGTGAAGTAGAAGCAAATGTGATAGATGTCTGAACTCCTGGAGCAGTTGCCGGAGGGTGGGGTGTGTGTGTCCTGCCCACTCCCCTTGCCGTCAATCCAGGCTGTTGCTCTCTGGCTGTCCTCCACCCAGGTTTTCTAAGCACACTTGTGTGTGCTGGGGGGGAAGATAAGGCAAAATGACAGCTGTGCGAGACCGTGATTTTTTCACTCCATTATCCTGCTTCCCTCTTCCACCCCCTCGCCCCGGAGCATTTTTTAGATTCCCCTTCAGAGCCTGTTGCTTAATCAGCTAGAAGGGCTGCTGCCTCGCTGTGCGAGAAACCCCTTCTTAACCTGGCTCCTGCCTGTCCCGGAAGGGTGGGACCAAATTTAGGCTTGGGCCGGTGGTGTTGCAGGGCAGTGACCGCTGTGCCCTCGTGCGGAGGGGGCCCTGCCGGGAGCTGTTGCCCACCCTCTGCAGCTTGCTGGTCCAGGCTCGTCCTGGCTGGGAGTTGTGCTGGGGGTTTGCAGGCCTGGGTGAACATGGCCGTGAAGGAAGGAGGTTCGAGAGCTGTCTTCCTGATGGTGGTGTGGCGGGTTCCCGGGGACACAGACCTTTGATCATTTATTGGAGCAGGAGTGTAAGCAAGGCGGATGTGTGTTAATGTGGTTATACAGAACAGCAGGCAGCGGATAGAAACTGTGTCTGTTTGCTGCACCCTCACCCAGGTACGCCTGCCTCCTGGTTCGGTTCCCAAGGCTCTGCCTACATTCCTGGTAGTAAGAAAGTCAGAAATAGCCACAGGGTTTTGTAGACTTTAGACACGCAGAAACCCACATACATAAGTAAATACTAGGTGAGGGGACTCCACCTCTGAGTGTTTTGTGTGTGGTTTCTGGTGACTGGAGCTCTGCTTTCAGGGTGCACAATGTCCCCTGAATGCCTTGATAGGATTATTTCCCTGTACGTCTCTGCAGCCCGTCCATTCCTCTTTCTGTAATCCCATCTACTGGGGCAGGAGAAGCAGCTCTGGATTTATAGTGTGCCCAGAATCCGGTAGCTGGGATTATTTTTTTTTGTACTTGTGTCTCACAGGGCAGTTCCTCCCTCCTTTCCTTCAGTGATGCTTCCTTCCCACTGAGCTCCAGCAAGGGAAAGTTCCTCTCGCCTGCGTGTGAAAACATGAATCATTCCTCACCTTTCCTGTCCCCAACAGGCTCCGTGTATTTTGTAAGCTAAGAATGTGGCATTGCATAAATTAGGAGTGTGGCAAATCCCTCTAGAAGGAGACGCATTGGCTGTCTCGGTTCGTAGAAGAAGTTGGTGTCCACGGCAGGGGTGAGGGAAGGCAGGCTGTTAGCGGAGGAACTGCTGGAACTGTATTTGGCCAAGGTGTTTGCAGCAGAAATTGAGGTTGGCAGGGAGGACAAACTCTGTGGCTGTGGTCCTTCAACCTAGTTGGTTTTCTGTGGAAGGTGAGCAGGCTAAGCCCCAATGGGGTATAGCAGGTCAAAGGGTTAGCTAATCGCCTCAGGGAAAGGGAGGAGGAAAGGCCTGAGCTGCTAAAAACAAACAGCCGGAACATCTGGGTAAGCAACAGAGATGGAGAGGCTCAGGTAGACCAAAGGAGGCTGTGATCCCATCAGCAGAAGTGCAAGGAGATAAGCAAATGGTGTTCCTAGTCAGTGTGGGCCTCGCCTCGCAGGGTTTGGTGAAGCGAGATGTCTCTTCCCTGTTCCCTGTGCCAGCCCCTGCCTAGGGGCGATGGAGGCACTTGCTCCTGGCCGCCTGTCTGTCTCTCGCAGCTTTTGGGTCCTGTGTTTCACCACCACCAAGGTGCTGGTCTAGGGCTGGGCCAGAGCGAGCTCCTTCTCACAGGGTTTATTATGCTGTTATTATTTATTATGTTTATTATTCTGGTGTCTCGCATGGTTACCACTCTCCAGGTGCCCGGTCCTGTAGGTTACAAGGAGCAGTGCCGTCTGTCTTCATGGTAGTGTGAAGTGACCACCCACTGAAAACACCTTAGGAGGAATTTCCTGCCCCCCCACCCCAGCCTGTGAACAAAATGGTGGGGAGGAGACTCAATCCTTCTTCGTTCCCATAATGGGAACATGGAAGACGTGCTTGAAACGGTCATGTTCCTGCAGTGTTTCTAGTTCATGCTGTCCCTGGACATCCGGGAGATCAGGAGAGGGGACAGAGGCCATGTAGACAGTGAAATATTTCAGGATTAAACACTGCAACCTAGCCTCTGGGTGAAGTGGGGAGATCTCTTCTGTAGTCTTACATGATTCACTTCCTGTTTCTGCTCTGACGCTGCGCTTTCTGGGCTGCTTTTCTCAGCACGACTGAACCATGGAGCTTCGAGTGGGGAACAAATACCGGCTGGGCAGGAAGATTGGCAGCGGCTCGTTTGGAGACATTTACCTAGGTGAGTGTGAGTCTCTGTCCTTCCACCTGCAAAGCTGTTTTTCTCAATTACATCATTGTTCTGGGGTTGTTTTTCTTGCCTGTTGGTATTTGTGGGCACCATGTAAGGTTGGAGGTGGTGGAGGGAAAAAGAGCTTCAAGGAATACTGCTAGTTGCTCAGGTCTTCTGATGGCAAAGGAGGTGGGATGAGCTCAGCTTTGCCTTGCAGATATTGGGGACGCAGTGGTATTTGATCAGACTGATTTAGATGTGGACTGTTCAGGGCATGTTTGTCATATATCCTACTCCAGCTCTCTTACTTCCTTTGCTTGAGCCTTGGGTGTGTGGGTATAAACTGTAAAGAGTCGGTGGTGGAAAGGGAGGAGATTCCTTCAGCGCAGAAGGAATAAAATTTTGGTAAGGTTGGTAGTGGAAGAGGTGGTCCAGCACTTGAGAGAGAGAGGTCTGAGTCCAGGAGGTCTGAAACAGGTCAGAGAGGGTGGCCTGGTTAAAGTCCTGGGGCCCAGATCTGTTAGATCTGTAATGGGATTTAGAGTTTAGTGTCTGGAATGACCTGAGCTAGGAGCTCAATGGACAGAGCCCATGAGACGCTGGGTTTCCTGTTACCACGGCGGGTCACTTGGGGAGAAGTTCTTCCAAGCCAACATGCTGATGTGTAGATACATTCCCTGATGCTTTGCCTGCTGATGTTTTTTTATTGGCTCAAACCATGTGGGGCCAGAGTGGCAAGGCTACCCAGTAGCCTGATTGATCCCTCCATGAGAGCTGGCGTGGCTTTACCTGTCATCTGGTTCTCACCGCTACCTGTTTAGCTGTAGCCCTGCAGGCCAGCAGAATGATTGTCCTCTCCCTTCTTGGTGCTTCCACCCTTTGGGTACTTACAGATGGTCATCATATGCTCTTTGACTGTTGATTTGCTCAGTTGAGTTGTATTTTGCTTCCCAGTACATTCACCAGTCCTCACTCTTGCTGCTCCATGAGTTTTTCCCAGTTTGTCCATTTGCTGAGCAACTTGGAGCCTACACAGCATTCGAGGTGTGGCATTTCCAGTGCTGGGCGGGGAGGGGCTACCCTTGCGTGATCTGTAACGTGATGCGTCTGCATAGACTGCTTTGGGTCTGCTTGGCTTTCCCCATCACCAGCACTGTATCAGGTTGCAGAATTGGCCTTGACGCCACGTCAGCTGCGTTGGAGGAGATCTCTTCTAGGTTCCGCAACATCTTCCCATCCCTCCCTGAGTTTCTTTCGTTGAATGCCTCTAGTTCAGATTACTTCTCTGCGTGTTTGTAAATCACCTTCTGTTTTCCACCTCTGGCTTTTATCTCTAGTTCTCTCTTGCCTTATTATTCTCTCTTGATTGGTGTTGGCAGCCACTCTTGACTAAGTATCCTGTGGGAATCATCAGTAGCAGGCTTTGTTGCCACCTTTATCCAGAGCATGAACAAAGATATAAATAATGGATCGGAGATCCCAATTCCACCGTGTGCTGCCTTCACTGCAGCCTGCTCCTGTGTGTCACTCCTCTCTGACCCTGCAGCCAGGCAGTGTCTCGGGTGATGGTACTTTCAATTCCCAGGTGCTAAGAAAAGAAGGGTGATTGCCCAGTCACAGCATTTACCACTTGTGCTAGGGCTCGAAGCCTTCTAGACTGTCTCTAGGACAGCAGAAGTTGCCAGGATCTTGTAAAACATCTGGAAGCGTGTGGAGAAAGAAGGGAGGTACTGAATGGAAAGGCGTCTGCATCGCCTAACAGATCACCCACCTGCACGAGGGCGACGTGGAAGACACAGGCTCTGGTGAAGGGGTTGTGCCCGCCTTGCCTGTAACCAAACAACACGAGAGGCGGAGGAAACCCCAGTGCCCTGGTGTGGTGAGCACAGCGGCATGCCTCTGACTGCCGAGTTCAACCAAGTTACTTGAATGCAGTATCAAAGCCCTTGTGATGTTCATTGAGGTGCAAGCCAGCGTGTTTTGAAGCAGTGATAGCGAGACTTCTTGGAGCCTGGGTGACTCCCCAGCCTGGAGGGATGGGGCATGTAGTCTCTGATGGTGCGTCTGGAGGACGCTTGTGCTTGCGCTGTCCTCTCACGGTCTGTTCTGCAGACAGAGGGACTCATTCACAAGACTTCTGCACCGGATTCACCTTGCAGTTCTCTCTCTTGATAATGGTGTGGAGATGGAGCAGAGACAGATGAGCCCTGTCGTCTCTGGAGGGAAGCATGGGCTGTAGGGTTTGTTCGCAGCTTCTTCCTCTCAGAATGTTAGGGCCTTCACCCGCTCTGTAACCAGTGGGTGCTGCGTGTGCTCTTTGGGTTTCACTTGTGGGTTTTCTGTCAGAAAGGAATTTCCACATGGGCACGCACAAAGGATGGACTCCTGTTAGTCCTCTGCTGGGTCTTAAAGCACGATGCCTTGCTTCCATGCTCTGCGTTGGGGGAGAGATGTGCCATGGGGGGATTCCCCCAGCATTGGCTCAGCAGAGTGAGAAATAACATCCAGCTGCCCTGGGCCTTGGCTACCCTGTTTGACTCTAAAAATGCTCACTCAGAAGAGCGAAACCCAGTTTGTGGAGGTATTGCCGAGACCTGCAGGCTGTCAGAGGAGAGATGCTTTGTCAGAGGTGTTGGCCAAGAGGCAGGGCAGTGTTGCTGGACGTGGTGTGAATCGTCGGGCTGGGATGCACTGGAGAGGAGCTGGGGACGGTGGAGAGGAGCTGGGGATGGTGGGGCAGACAAAGCATGCTGGGACCTGCACTGGCTGGGGACAGTTCCTGGTGGCAGGCTCCTCCCTTGCAGGGAGGGGAGTGCCTTCCCTTTGTTTCCTGGCCTGTTAACTCTCTCTCGCCCTATCTGACTTCTTCCATCTGTTCCCAGATCTCCATTCTTCTCGCTTGGAGCTAGTGAGAGGGGAGCGAGGGGAGTGTGAGCGGTGGAGAGAGCGGGGGGGGATGTGCCTGTTGGCTTGCCTGATACGCAGGGAGGGCGGTGTTTATTGTGTCAGACATGCAGCAAGGCTTTCGCTCCGAAAAAGATCCTGTTTAGCCGGTGACATCCTCTGTCCCTGGGGCCCGGTTTCATACAGCTTGTGATGAATGAGTTGAATTTGTGCAGCCCCCACAGCGGAGTGAGACTGGGGGTTGATGTTAGGAATTATCCCCAATCCTACATAAGTCTCTCAAGTGGCTGAAGCTAGGCAGGCTCTGCTGCATTTGTCTGAAACGTGGTGCTTTCCAGTCTGGAGAGGGAGCGAAGAACTGTTGCTTTTGTACTTGTATCTTTAAAAAAGATGGTGATTAAATCATGGAACAAAGGATGAGTGAGACTCCTGCCCGTGAATTCCCTCCTCGCTTGTGGTAGTCTGTGTCTGGGTAGATCTTTAACCAAAAAATGGTAGAGGGAGCAACCTGAAGACATGTGGGGGGTTGGGGAGGGGGTGAGCCTAATGTGTTCAGTTGCTGACCCCCTCAGCAAGAATAGCTCCTCATTAGGTCCAATTGGTCTTACTTTTGCTGTTCCAGGCTGCAGGATTGGTTTTCTAAGAGACTGTAACACCTGTGTGTGGGCTATGGAGAGTGTGGGGCTGAAGGCTGTGTTGATCAGTTGAATGGCATATTCACATTTTGCAGAATCTAAGTTTTCTGGATGCTTACTCCTCTTTTCCCTTTTCCTGCTGTGTGTGCTCACAGATAACACTCCCCACCTGCAGACAGCCTAGTAGATGGGTGCATTGTCATCTTCCTAAACACACAAGGTAGCGTGGAGATGAGAACTTGTTCAACTTTAGGGAGCAGAGTTCACTCGAAATGCTAATGCTACCTCTGCCAAAAGTCAACAAGACTTACCATTGCATGTGTGTCAACAGATGGACTGAGAAAGGGAAAAATTCCCCCAGGGAACGGGCAAGGAAGCTGCTGCAGAGCATTTGGAGGAGTCTTCACAAAGGGAAGGAAGCGTTTGGATGTCTTGGGTGTTTCCATGCTGAATGAGGGCCAGTGATGGAACGCTAATTTAAAAGGTAGATAGTAGTCTGGGGCCACGTTCTTACTGTGATCTGAGCCCCTTTCCCTGCTCTTTTTCTCCTTGCACTCCTGATGCTTGTAACAGGGGTCCTGTGGTGGAGAGAAGGGAACGCACAGACTTGTTTTGCTGGCCATCAGTTTTTAAGTGGAAAACGTCAACATCTTTCCACAAGTAACCATTGGACAAATGGCTCTAGCTCTCAGGATGGCTTTTTCCCTTTCCCTTCTCCTGGCTCTTGAGTAAAAACCCTTATTAAATTAATCCCATTGCTCCTCCTTCCCCTCCCTCAGAGCACCCTAAATAATTCCTGTCCCTCCTTAGTGTTTACAGCCTTCAAATATTTGCAGACTGTTGTCATGTCCCATTCTTCCTCCCCACCCTTCTTAGTTGTATCTCTTGTCTATGTTACATATTTAGCTCTTTTAATCTTTCTTAGTAAATCAATCCCTCTAGGCCCTGATCTTTTTTGTTCCTCTCTTACAAATTCCTAGCAGCTTCTCTGTCTCAACCTGATGCTGTAGTGTCAAGATGACCTCTTTTTGGTAGCAGGCATCTCGTGGCTAACTTTGTGTACAAACCAGAACTCTTCAACAGGAGATGGATCTGCTTGGGATCCAGGGGCGGAAGGGATCCAGCTGTGTGAACATTTTGTTTGTCTCTTTGGTCCCTGGCTCTGGAGCCGGTGTGTGAAAGAGGATGGATGGAGAGATCTGTCTGCAGCTGTCCTTGTGGACTCTGAAAGCCTCATCACAGGCGTCAGGAGGCACGAATTAGCCAGGCCTACCAAAACTAGCTATGGGATATCTACAAAACATCACCTTTGAGTCCAGCTGAAGTCTGGCATTGCGTGTTCTGGAGTAGTTTATTTTATGACAGTGTTTGGAAGCTGCTCATGATCAGAGCTGCTCTCTGATTTGTGTTTTGAGTGCAAGTCTTAATAGTTCCAGATATGAGGAAGGGCTTGTTTGTGTGTGTGAAGCAGGCATGGGAGGTGGGGAGAGAGAAGCAAGTCGAGTGTCATTCCTGTGACCTGTGTACAGATCTTCATTCTTTCCGTTTTAGGATGATGTGAAACATCTGGAATCCTCTCAGCTAGTACGAGAGAAAGACCAGCCTGTTCCGCCTTTGACAGTGCACTTTGGGAGCAGAGTGCTGGCTTTCGTGGCTGGCAGCTCAGTTGTTTTCAGAAAGAAGCGTGTGGGGTGGTGGGTTTGTGTCATCACAAACTATCTAGCAATACCTTCAACAAAGGTGTCTGAGTAGCTTAATTCACTACTGGATTGAGTTTGTTTCTTCATGCTTCTAATTTAGGATATAGCAAATGTTTCTGTGTTGGCAAAAGATAAAGGTATTATTAAAGCCCTCAGGAGAGGGAGAAGCTGGAGATTTGGGAACTGCTTTTATCGAGCAGGTCAGGGCTGTGGAGAAACCAGAGGTAGCTGGGAATGTTAGCAGTGTCTCCTCGTGAACTAATTTACTCTGTTGAAATGATGTACCCGAGGTAACCAGTAATTTTGCTCAGGAAGAGGTACTCCATATCACTGCCTGGGGGGCTGGCTTGGGTTCAGGGAGTAAGTATATGATCAGGGAGAGCTAAAACTTCCACTGGTACATACAGATCGGCCTCCCAAAGTCTGGCAAAGTTAACTCTCCCAAAGTTATCTTTTGAGATAACGAGGCAGTTAACACATTGTAGGACTGTTGTTCTAGCCTGTCTGCAAGATCAGAGCTGGTTTTCTATCATGTGCCTTCCTCTGGACTTGCCTTTGCAAATGGCAGCACTGGAAACTCTGCGTGAAGTTGAATTGGCCGAATCTCATTTCTGTCACCGAGAACAAATTTCAGGGCAAATCTTAAAGTTTTGGCATTTTTACGGGCCTTGTTGAAAGTTTTTAGCTTCACTAGTGGAAGCTTGCACAATCTTCATTTCACCCTCATTTCTATGCAGGAGCCAATATTGCAACTGGTGAAGAGGTGGCCATCAAACTGGAATGTGTCAAAACCAAGCATCCCCAGCTCCACATTGAAAGCAAGTTTTACAAGATGATGCAGGGAGGAGGTGAGATGGGGCCGGGGGAGTGGTTGAAGAAGGAAATTATTCTGGAGGGCCTTAGAAAGGAAATGATTTGGTGTTACATATGATCATCTCAGCAGGGGATGCAGCAGTTTTGCTCTGTTCCAAGGGCTTAATCTTTCTTTTTCCCCAGTGGGTATCCCCTCTATTAAGTGGTGTGGAGCAGAGGGGGACTATAATGTGATGGTGATGGAGCTCTTGGGGCCCAGCCTGGAAGATCTCTTCAACTTCTGTTCCCGCAAATTTAGTCTCAAGACAGTTCTGCTCCTGGCAGACCAGATGGTGAGTTTCCTCTGAAGCATTTGTGCCTACTCTCCTTTTCCTTGCCTCCCCCCCAGTCCCATCCCCTCTGCTCAAGAATTGCTGTATCCAAGGCTTTTTTTCATTTAGCAGCAAGTGGCTGCCAGGTTTCTATTTCCTGGTGAAGCTGAGGGCCTGGCTTTTCCTGATCTCCATCCCTCCTTCCTTCCCCTGCTGCTCACCGTGTATTAGTGTTGTACACATAGATGCTTTTGCCTGTGTGATGAATGATTGGTGTTGCTACTTATCTTGACTGAACTGCCCATGCCCTGGGTTTAAGACCCTTTAGCTGTTCTGGACCCTCTCCTTTCTCAACCTGGCTAAGTTTTAGATGTTGACTGGTGTAAATGCTGAAGCTCAAAGTTTTAGGTTGTACAAACTTGCTTCCCTTTCTTCCTTGTGGTGCTAATGGTGACCTCCCTGGATTGAGGACTGGGCTGGTGTGCAGGACTGAATTCCACCTCCATCTCCAGATCCTTCTGCCTCCAGAGGGTGTCTTTTCCTTGGCTGTCATCTCTGATATTCTCTGGAAAGTGTCCCTTTCCCTCCTCTGACAGGCCGGTGTTCTGGTCAGGGTACTGTTTTTAACAGTTGCAGTTGTGATAAGTTTCATTCTCTCTTGTCTCACTATTTATTTATTTATTCCCCCCCCCATGTCTAGATCAGCCGTATTGAGTACATTCATTCCAAGAACTTCATCCACCGGGATGTGAAGCCAGACAACTTCCTTATGGGCCTCGGCAAAAAAGGCAACCTAGTATACATCATTGATTTTGGTTTGGCCAAGAAGTACCGAGATGCCCGGACCCACCAGCACATCCCCTACCGGGAAAACAAGAATCTGACTGGCACAGCCCGTTATGCCTCTATCAACACCCACCTGGGAATCGGTGAGCCTGCTGTTGTCCCTTGGTGGGACTGACCAGGGGGACATGGTGTGTCCCCAGGAGGAGGGCGGTGGGTTCTGTGCCTGGCTCTGTTGCTGACCTGTGTTGAGATGGTGGGCAAATAACTAAACTATTATGCCTGTGTTGCCTCTCCTGCCATTTAGGGCCCTCTGAGCTCCTGAAGGCAGAAATAGTCTACCAGTACGTGTTTGTGTGCTGTTTTGTAAAGCCCTGCTTCAGTATCAAGGCTGTCATCTCCCTGACTTTACTGCTACTAGCTCTGCCTTGCACAGTTTTTGCAGGTTGATTAGAGGTGTAAAGGAGACATTTGCAGGCACTGAGCCTTTAGGGATATGTGCAGTTGAAACTTCTTTTGTTGACCCCTGAGTGCCTTCATCAGTGATTACTCTGTAGCTGTCAGAGCTGGAGGATACAGGGCCACTGCAGTATGGTCATACTTCTGTTACCCACCATGGAGGGTGGGGACAGCGATGTGTTGGAAATGTACAAGAAGCTGAAATGAGGGGAGGCTCCCTGCTGCCTGGACATCCAGGTTTTCTGATTGAGGGTTAGCTGTCATGGGCCTTCAAAATATGTGTGTATCTGTGAACCACGCTGCCCCGTTCACCGCTGAGAGAGATTGAGGCAGGGCTTCCCTGAGTCTCTATGGCTGATACTGGGGGGATAAAACTAGGCTGGGGAAGAGTGCTGAGAGTTCAGCCAGGTCTTACACGGGTGGTGGCCATCATCCCAGGTTTTGTGAAAGCCTTGTGCAGGTTAGTACCCGCTGCACTTAAACCTCCTGAAGTCACCCAGACTCTTGTCCTGGGAATGAGCCCCTGATGCACAACACCTGGTTGCTGTGAGAAACAGAGGTGAAAACCTCTTGCAGCTTTCTCTTCCGTTCCCTGACTAGAAACAAAACAGTGTGTGACCTCTTTCCTCTGCTAAACTTTGTCTGTCCACAGTGTGAGGCTTTTGTAGTTACCGTAGGGTCTGTTCTTAGCAGGCTGGCTTGGTTCTGCTACCAACTGGCAAATCCGAAGAGCAGAAGCATGGAAGGTGCCCTGCCTGCGGACCCAGGAAAGTAGCTGCTGTGCTCGCAGCTCGGTTTGTATCTCTGGGAGACCTTCTGAAATGTAAAAGTTGGGAATTTGGAAATCAGAGTAAGGAACTCAAACCTTTTAAACTAACAGCTTCCACAGGATTTTACGTCCTCATTCTTCCTAGGGAAGGCTTCCCATTCTCCCCATTTGCAGATGGTTTCTCAGAAATCTGGAGTCAGGACCTGACCTGCAGTTTCCCACTGTCGTCTTTGCTTAATACTGTATAACTGTAGGCTGAAAATGCCTTATTTATATTGAAATGGGGAGTGTTGTGTGTTGAGAGTGGGCTGTGATCTCCTGACCTCTTCCACGTAACTAAAAATAGTTCTCATAGAGCTTCCCGAGTTGGTCTTCTGTATTTTGGCTTGACCTGCTTATATATAACTGACTCTCCATTGAATTCTCAGTCAAGATTTCCACAGCCATGGTAACTGCCACAAGGAGACATGCACAAAATAATTCTCACTACTATGTCTGTCGATTCTTTTGTTTCTGCCTGCTCTGTCTGAACTGATCACGAGAGGCTAAACGTCTGGTTGTGCGGTTGCTTGGCGTTTTTTTTAAGGACTTTATTATTTATTCCACCCCAGCTTAGCCCTTTACTACTGGTGCTTGGCTTGTGTATCAGGATGAACAAACAATGTCTGAACACTAATCCAAGGGCAAATCACATATGTCATTGGTCTGAGCACAGCCGTTACTCGCTTCATGCCCTTTGCTTCAGGAAAGTCTGGGTGTGAGTTACTCTGCGCAACAGGTCTCGGGTGTATTATCTCCACGTTGCAGATAGTTCCCCCGAATGGCATAAAGGTTACGTGACTTGCGCAGAGGAAAGGGACGGGGCTGTGAGGGTTGCAGTTGGAGTTCCTGTTGCTCAAGACCTTGCCACAGGGTGTATGACAGACACATTTGTGAGTTAGCAGCATTGCCATGGGAACCGTCATTCTGAATTTTTTTACTTTTCAGAGACTGAATTCTCTGTCTTAATGTTACATTAATACAGTTTAGGGAGAGGGAAGGAACCAGGTGCCGGGGTATTCGTGTGACGGGAATAGCAAATGAATAAATGCCTTTATTTGAATGTGCAAGCTAAGGGTTGGGCATTCCGATGTCTGGAGGAAACACATTCTTCTCCCAGTGACTGGGGGAAAAAGTAGGAGGCAAGATCAGGGAGGGTTTCCACAGCTGGAGACTTGCCATTGGGGGAGTCATTGGAGTGTGCAGGCTTTGGTTCACGCATTCCAGTCAATTTTCACATGCTCTGGGGATGAGAGTCCCTTGCACCCTCTGGAGCTTATAAAGTCTGAAATAGATGCCAGGGGGTGCCCAGGAGACAGTCTTGGAAGAAGCCTGGTGGGATCTGTCTGGATAACAGGAGGTGGGGGGCAGTTGCTCCCCAAACGCGTGTCTTAGATGGCATCAGTGTAGGCTGTGCAGATCATGAAGTTCTGCTCATCCTGCCCTCTGTCACCCATTCCAGATAATTTTGTGTGTTCTGAAAGGCTGTTGCTGTGCAGTGGGGAGAGAAAGGGGAAGTGTGGTCTCAGCGTGTGCAGAATTAGATCTATCGTCAGGAAAACCAGTGCTTGGTTAAGACTGCTTGCAGATGGATCATTTCAGCAAAGACAGCTGATTTCTAGGGAGTCCTGCGTGGGAACAGCATCACTTTTGGATAGGATCAGGGTGGAGGGAAGCACTGTCCTGGAGGCCCTTTAGACTGCAAAGAAACAAGTTTTGTCATGGACCTTGTGACCAAGGCAACAAGTCCTCAGTCTCCTGTCTTTGCCTGGGCATGTCTTCTCCAGGTGGCTCACTGTCCTGCTGCTCACCCCTGACTCAGCTCCTCTTGAGGACCCTGCTTTGGGAAGAGAGTGAGGGTGTGGGCTGGCTGAGAACCTCCCTGGGAGGGAACTGTCAGGAGATTGCTTGCAGAGCGGGTTAGGTTTGAGAGATCATGCTGGGTTGTGTGGGGAGGTGACCTCGTGTTTTCTGTTGGAGGGGGTTTTGTGAGTGAGGGAGGAAAGGATGAGTGTCTTACAAAGGCAGCATCCCCCCCATGTAATCTGGGAGAGTTGAGAAGCTGAAATGAAATGGAGAGAGGAAGAGTGACGTGGTGTCACAGGTCATGGCTGTAATCCTCCTTTTGGACTGACTTGCTTTGGGCACACATTCATGTCACTTGTCTTTCGCTTTCTCTTTTCAAACTGTAAAGTGAGATATTTTTTTTTGTGCCTGTGTCCCAGGGATGCTGTGAGAGTTAGTCAATGATTGTAAAGCTTCTATAAGTGGAAAGTAGTGATATTAAATAATGTTTCTATGGTGTGTGGAGGTGAACTTTTTTTTGCCTAACTCTACTTCACTTTTGGTGTCTAGTGTTATCTAGTAGGATGTGAGTATATGAGGTCAGGCAAAGGTAAAAAATGTGGAGATGTTTAATAATGACTGAAGATGAAACAAAGAAATGGGCTCCAGGAACTGTTGTTCTTCACCATCATCCAAGGTTTAATTCAGGATCTTGTAGGCAGGGTTACAGGTGAAAGACAGCTACAATATTTTGAGGTAGCTTGATAACTGTGACCCATTATGTTGGTGCTTTAGGCTTGTCATAGATTTGAACCTCACTGAAATTCTTTAAGTGAGCTACAGTGACCACATGTACCTGAGATACTGGATGTCGGGGATGCAGCACAATCGGACATTTGTCATTCACCATTTTAATAATCAGGTGTTGTGCTTGCAATTGTTTTTCCTTGATCATACTGCTGTATTAAGGCACAGTTAAGGTGTTTGCATGCATGTAATAGATACTAGTGAGCTGCCCAGTTTGGTGTTCTAGCCCCTCTCATTGCCTCCAGTAAAGGCTTGTAGCATCCTCCACTGATTTCAGGCTCCCTAACCTCAAGTCTCTAATTCTGGACTTCCCCAAATCATTAGGCATAACGTTCACAGAATGTCGCCTGTTCTGGATGGGGTCGGTGGCTGTGCTCAAAGCTTCTGGGCTCCACGCAAGTGGAGGTGTGTGGTCCAGCCTGGCTTAGTCGGTATGGAGTTCAAGATTTTGGAGGCAAGATCCTGATTTACTCCTAAAAGGCAGATTTGCTTGTTCAGTAGGTTTCTCTGGTTCCTGCCCTGCCTTTCCCCACTCCTCTGAGGGTTATCACCATGCTCTAGACAGGGAACCCCCAGGTAACTGGCTTTAAAGCTACAGCATGGATAAGTCAAATGCCAGCAAACTGCAGGATTGAGGATACCCTCATCTCCTGTGCTTTCAGGCCCTGGATTTGCATTCTGATTCCATTTTCACATGCCTTCTGTCTCAGGATGTCGGTCATTATCAAATATTGTTTAGTTTTATTTATTGTGTGTGCATGGTATGTAATCACAGCCCTCTGAGAGTACACGTATCCCAACCTTAGGCCAAATGCAAAACCGCGTGTTTCTTTTCCCTGCTTCCTTCATAGCGTCTAAGCATCTCCCAGCCAGTCATGTAGTTATCTTTGGCAGCAGCCTGATAAGATTAGGAAGTATTAGCCCCTTTAAAGTGGGCAACTTGAGGCAGTAAGTTAGTGAGGTCAAAAAATGCTGTTACTTCTGCATTCTTAAAGTAAGACACTTTAGGGATCTGCAGGGCTGCTTTTTCCTCTACTCCTGTCTTGGAACATGGTGTTTTTACGGAATTTCATGTGCTTTGACCCAAAGGTTCTTTCCTTTCAGTTACGGAGTGACAACCCCGTGGCTTCCCCCCCCCCCCCCAATAGTTTTAACTTGCCAAGCCCCCTAGTTCTAAAAACACTAAAAGGTTATGAGAGAGATGCAGGAGGAAGAAAGGCTGATGGTGACCCGCAGCTTATGTCAGTACATCTGGATGTCTAGATCTGTGACCTGCTGCAGCTGCTCCTTTGTGAGGGTTCAGTTCAGCTAGCAGAGTAAGGGGCAGCAGTAAGAATCTACTGGCCTTTGAATGGGGCCGGTGGTAGCATGTAACTGATACTGAGAACTAACCCACAGACCAATACATAATCTGCAGCATCTTCCAGGACATGGCACTAAAGCCAGCAAAATGTGCTGTAGTAGTAAATTAATCCAATAGGTGAATCTCTTTAGTCTTTCCTCTACCCCTGTGCTCTCCCTCGAGCCAAATTTTGCCTGTTATCTATGTACATTGTTCTCCTCAAGATGGAAAGTACTTTCTCCAAAGTGTTTATTGTGTATTATTTGGGAGGGGAACAAGGGCAAGAGCTTCTTGGCAAAGTTTGTAGGTGAATTTGTAGGCATATTGGAGGAGCTGGGAGGAATTTCAGAAGTTAACTAGTCAACATTTCTAGTTGCTGAGATTCTGCATCAGCTCCATCTTGAGCTAACTTGGAACTTAAAATGGCTTGGCCATTCCAGAGAACATGTTCAATGTGGAACGTTTTTGTTTGGGAAATGTTTTTTTTGTTTGTTTGTTTCATAAATAAGCATCTAAAAGCAAGCCTTCACAATCGCAGGTAATGTTAGCGGCAACCCTTGCTCTGAGTAGAGTTGGTAGTGATGCCAGTTACACAGTCATTCCCCATGTGGAGGGGAACCTTTTGTTCAAAGTATACCTCTGTATTCATGCCTCTTTCCTCCACAGCTTGAGAAATGCCACCAATCCAGAAAGGTATTTGCACAGTATTAAATGTTAGGCTTCTCTAAACTATCAACAAAGTTGCTTACCACAAGAAGGGGTCACTAGTTCCTCGTTTCTGTCCTGTTCAAAGAGTATCAACTGGTTAATCAGAAGATGTGTTTGAAAAAGTTGTGTTGGGCTTACCTCTGTTACATGACTAATCCCCAGGGTGAAGTATCATTCTGGGTGGAGGACTGTAGGTGCCCTTCCTCTGGGACTGGGAAGAGCAGAGTAGGCAGTGTCGCTGCAGCACTTCTTGAGCTGTTGAATTCTTGTGTGAACTAAGGCTTGTCCAAGTGAGGAGGAAGTCAGAGTAATTACTCATTTATGAAGTGGGTTGGGCTGTATGGGGAGAGGAGCGCTTTAACTCTTGCAGTATGAACATCCTCACAGGAATTTGTACTGAAATGTCTTCTAGGAGTTTGTCTATTCGTAGAAATCTACCAAAAAGGGAAGAGGGATTGCTCTTTTTTTTTTTTTGTTCCATGTTCACCTCCAAAGCTCTGTGATTGCCAAAGCAGTTTTGGTTGTTGCTCACTTCTTGCTCCTTTGTAACTTCTCACAGAACAAAGTCGCCGTGATGACCTGGAGAGCCTGGGCTATGTGCTCATGTATTTCAACCTGGGCTCGCTGCCCTGGCAGGGCCTCAAGGCTGCCACCAAGCGCCAAAAGTACGAGAGGATCAGTGAGAAAAAGATGTCAACGCCCATTGAGGTGCTCTGCAAAGGGTACCCTTGTAAGTGCTCTGATCTTGATGGCTCCCTTGTCTGATGCATGGCTTGCTCTCGTGGTGAAACCCCATGGAATCTTGAGTCCTGAAGGGCAATGCCCAGTACCCCCAGACCAGGATGTGCTGCTGACACCAGTGGCGAGAAGGATAAGACTAGAAAGTTGGACTAGATGATCTCCAGAGCTCCCTTCCAACCCCTACCATTCTGTGATGAGACCTGTGGTGATACAGTTCTGGTTCAGAAGTGGGAAATGTGTTTTTGTGGAGAGTCGAGCCTTGTGTTAGTAAGGGTGTGAGAGTGCCGAGAGGGATCTTTTGGACCTCAGAAACAGTATGGAAGGGGGGTGGGCAGTGAGGTGAGAAGGTGTGCTGATGATCCTGAGTTTTCACTGGGTAATGAGGATGAGGGCCAATTGTGATGAATCCCAGAAATAACCAGGCAATGAAGCAGCAAATGCAGTTCTTTGTAGGTAAATGTGGAGTGATGTGTGTGAGAGGAGACGGAAGGTTTGGTCCTCATGTCATATGCAGACTAGTAGGCTCTGAGCTGACCAGTGCCACTCACCAATGAGGTGTTGCAGTTACAATGGACAGTTCTGTGAAAGCATCGACTTTGTGCTTAATGGCTACTGAGGAAAGCGGATCAGGTGTTGGCAATTACTAGGAAAGAAAAAAGCTCAAACAGTATGCATAAACCTGTTAAAGGCCCACTCGCACCTTGCATGCCCTGTGCAGCTCTGGTCCATCCCACTATTTCAGAAAGGATGCAGCAGAACTGGAAAAAGGTCCAGGAAAGGGCCAAAAGGGTGATCAGAGGTGAGGTGATTTCTATACAAGCAACAAGGGAGTGGGCTGGAACCTGGAAAAGAGGTGAATAGAGAGGCAGTGGAAGTCTACATGCTTGCTAAGCCTCCAGAAGTTTGGATGGGAACAGATTATTTGGTGGCCTCAGTTCTTGTATTGGAAGAGAAACAAAGCTGGTTCCTGCCAGCTTCAAAACAAAATGATGTGGTTCTTCACACAGCCGGTAGTAGATGTTTGGAACTCCTTCCCAGAAGATGATGTGGATTCTTAAAGCTTACAGGAGTTCAAGGAGAGACTGGACAACTAACTACATGGAAGAGAGATCCACTGAGGGTTATTAAATAATTAGAAAGCACATCCAGATCAGGAAGTTCCCTGAGCTGAAAATAAGTGGGAACTGGGATGATGTCAATGTAAGTGTCAGACATGCTTACCCTCGTCATCCTCTTCTGTAGCTGTCTAGAGGCAAGACAGCCTGCTCAAGACAGGCTACTGGAGTAGGGGGACCTCTGGTCTGGTCCGGTTTGAGCTGAGCACAACTAGTCTTTCACAATTCACGTCCCGTCCTGTCTGTGCTGTTGCTCTGACCTGTATTGGTCATCTTCACACCATGTAGGCCTGGCTTCCCAAAGCTCACCTCTGCCTGTTCTTTAGGGCTGCATTCCTACTCACCTTCAGCAGGCTCTCTGACTTGCTACCTCTCGCTTGAAGAAGCAGCCAGAAAAGAGAGATGTGTGAGCATTTCCCCTGGTCAAAATAGGGATGGAATCTTCTCGGTGGCTGAAGCACTGCAACCAGCCCCCTCTTTTTTTCATCACGCAGTTCTGTGTTTGTGCCGTCCTGACCCGGCACACTGCTGCTGAAAGGCTGCGGTGGGGCTGCGGTGGGTCTGTGGTGGGACCAGGGTATTTGGATGGTGTTCCACAACCAACTGTTCTCTGCTCCCTCCAGCTGAGTTCTCGACATACCTCAACTTCTGCCGCTCACTGAGGTTTGACGACAAACCTGACTATTCATACCTGCGGCAGCTCTTCCGCAACCTCTTCCACCGCCAAGGGTTCTCCTATGACTACGTCTTTGACTGGAACATGCTTAAATTTGTGAGTGTGTGTGTGGGGGGGAAGGGCTGGAGGGCAGGGGTTGATTCGTATCATGAGGGGGAGGAAAGTTGGAAACTGCCTGTCATTTGTACTTACCCCTGGTGAGCAGTTTGAGAAAGGGGACCAGGTAGAGTGAAAAGAGCCAGAGTTGTTTGGTGGTGCTAACTGGGGGGTATAGCTACTGTTGTATTAGTGAGTGTGTCTGATGGACCGTGTGTGTCAATAGATTCATAGGTAGGTAGAGATAATTTTTCAGGAGAGAACTATATTTGAAGGTGGGACACAGATGTGGATTGGAATGACAGCTGTAGTACCATATGTTTTCTTCTGTGTTTCTTCATGGAAGACAATGAGGCCCTCTCTGGATGGAGTGGAAGATGGTGGGGGGAGAACGTGTTTTGGGGATGGAGCTCTGCTTTCTTGGTGCGATGGAGCATCGTGCATTTTCTGTCCGGGGCTGCTGCTGTCTCTCCTGCCTGACAGCCATGCGTGGCATGGGGGTTTCTCTCCTCCTCAGGGAGCAGCTCGGAACCCCGAGGATATGGATCGGGAGCGGCGAGAGCATGAGCGAGAAGAGAGGATGGGGCAACTCCGTGGGTCGGCCACGCGAGCGCTGCCCCCCGGCCCGCCTGCTGGAGCCACTGCCAACCGCCTTCGCAATGTCACCGAGCCCATGGCCTCCACCCCCACCTCCCGAATCCAACAGTCCGGTGAGTGGGGTGGGAGAGCTGCGAGAGGGTGCCGCCCCTGCTGTTGGCTGGAAGCTGGAAAGATTGACTGGTGTTCTTGTCTCACGTTTCTGTGAATGGACAGGAAACACGTCCCCCAGAGCAATCTCAAGAGTGGACAGGGAGCGGAAGGTCAGCATGAGGTTACACCGAGGAGCTCCTGCCAACGTCTCCTCCTCTGACCTCACAGGGCGGCAAGAAGTGTCACGGATTTCAGCATCACAGGTAAGTCCCTGCTACGATGTTGGTGGCCTTGGCCTGCGTGTCCCAGAAGGACTAAGGGGCCCCACAGCGGTTTTTATCTATCTGCTGGAGCTAACATGTGCCTGAAGCTTCTGCAGTGTGGTGAGCAGACTGGTACCAGGTTACATCTTCGCTCCTTGGTTACATATTTTCTGGAGGCCATGCTCAGTGCAGTCTTCTTAGCTCTGCTTTGCTCAGAGTAAGCCTTCATCTGGTTGTCTTCCAGACCGCAGTGGTTTGGAGAAGTGGGACAACAAACTCGTGGGAGGGAGTATATCCTAAGAGAAACAAGCAGCCTCTCTGTTCTGGTGTCCTTCATGCCTCTTTCTTCCTCTCCATCCCTTACCTACTCTTTCTTTTCTCTTGTAGACAAGTGTGCCATTTGATCACCTTGGGAAGTGAGGAGCAATTGCCACTGGACCAGTGTTTGCTTAGGTGAGCCTGTCCTCGTGCCTGGGATCCACCAAGGATGGAATCGTTGGGATTAGGGATTAGGTTAAAGCTTTGATGTTGCTGTGAGGGATTGGTACACTTCCTTTCCCTTCGCCTTACTTTGAGATGTTTTGGGGCTTCAGAGAGAAGAGTAAGGTTGGCTGCCAGAACCTTGGGGGCATGGATTATCTTGGGTGTGAAGGTAGCTTCCATTTCTCCAGGAGGGTAGAGAAAAGGTGCTGGGCCAGGGAGCCATTTTCTTAGTTCCTAATGAACACTTTTCTGGCAGTGTGACTGGGGAGGAGAATGCTGAGCCTGTAATCAAGTGTGCGAGATTTTGCACAGCTAGTGAGTGCCTCTTGTAGAGGAAATAACAGTAGCTGGAGAAGGTAACTCTGAGGGGCGGCAGGAGTGTAGAAGAAAGGGCTGATTTGATTTGTTACACTCCAGTAAGTGCTTGGCAGAGCCTTTTCTCCTAATGTCCTCTTCCCTTTTTCTCATTTTTATTTTTTTTCTCTTTCTAGTGTCTTCACTGTATTTTTCTTTTAAAAAACAAAAAAAACCCAAAAAAACAAACAAAAAACTAAAAACGACAAAAAACAAAAAAAGAAACCCCGACAGAATTTTTCTTTGCCAACGACGAGGAGTCAAGCTGTGCCCCCGCGCTGGTGTGAGCCGTTTCCGAGAGGGTCGCCTGCGTCCCCCAGCGCGAGCACCTCCGAGAAGCTGACAACCTGGAGCCATGCGGGAAAACCTCCGAAGCGCCCCCAGCCCTGCCGATGCCTACCCCCAGCTCCCTCTCCTGACTCCGCTCCTGGTCTTGGTTTCTCTCTCTTTTTTTTTTTTTCCCCCCTCCATCTTCTTGGATTTCTTCTGCCTTTTTGCTCTCCTTTTGTTCTGAGGGCAGGTAATGGTGGGGGGGGGTGGTTTTTTTTTTTGGGTTTTTTTTTTTCTTTTTTCAGGAGCGTTGTGGGCCAGGAGGGAATCAGATTCCAGCCACACTTGATGGTAGGAGTCTGATTTTTATTATTATAACAGAATTTATTTTCTCAAGCATTAAATTAATTTTAAGCTGTGAGGGGGAATTGTGGCAACGGCCTAATCACTGACTCGGGCTTCCTTTCCTTGGGTGGCTTCTCTGCGGGTTTTTTCTGGCTGTCGGGAGAAGGGCCAGACTTCACTGATCCAAGCGGTCCTCGGCGCCGAGGGATCTCTATGGAGTGGTACCTGGTCCCATGGAAGATGGGAAGGCTGGAGCTGAAATACAGGAAGATAAGAACCCACTTCCCATCCCTGCAGCGGGGTCTTTTTTTTGTCTGGCTGTGCGTGTTTTTCTATTTTAAATTTTTTTTTTAATTAAAACTTGTTTTAATTCCTGCGGAGAGAGTGTGGGACTTGAGGAGAAGAGAGGGGCATGCAGAAACTGGAGTTTGGTGTTCTTTCGGAGCGATGGCTCTTGCTCTCTCCTTCCCTCATGCAACCCCCGAGTAAGATCCACCGTACATGCACAACCCCTTCCTGCCCTCTCCCACCCGTATCCCCTCCTCCCCCCCCACTTTAGTTGTTTTTAAATATAATTTAGGAATACTCAAGCTGCTTTGTGGCACTTGGGCCTTTGAAACACAATGATCACT